GACTGTCAGACAAACTAGTTACTTTGATAATGTCGTATTACTGGCCTAAAGTTTCATTATTTTGCCAAAAGCATAGAAATAAATCCAGAATTCAGCTGCCTTTCCTTTGTTCCCAGTGTTATATTCCTGTGATGGTGTTCCTTGATTTTGGTAGGAATAAATGAATGTATTAGTCACTGTGTGAACTCCTCAGATAAACCAGCCCCCCAGGCCATCCTGGGCGCTGTGTGTCCCAGCCTGCCTTCTGGTCAGGCTGCCACTGCTGCACCCTGACTATAGAAGCAATGCCTGGAGCACTCTGGAGTCACAGGCTTCCCTTCTTGTAGGAAAAGTGATGGTGATATTGTTGTAATTAGCTAGTTATTAATAATAGAAAAGGACCAAAGGGAAGGCCAGACATTAGAGACATGTCATGTGGGCAGCTTCACCAGGAAGCTGCAATTTCACACTCCCCAGGGAACCACCGGCCATTCCCCACAGATCACTGGGGAAGGGGTCCAACAAAGGGAGATGGGCCCATGTGCAGTAAAGTTGGGGTGACCAAGGGAAGGTACTAGTCAATCAAACCTGAAAACAAGATCATTGGCCAGAATGAGCAGGGCCACTGTAAACCCACAAAAATTTGGGAATACATAATCCCCTAAACAAAGGAATCCTCTCTCTTGTTGCTCTGGGTTCATGGGCTCTCTTGTTCCTGCTTCCTTGTATTCACCCGTGTTTTCTCATAGCCATGTGGCCCTGTGGACCCCACATGCAGGACTGATGGACCGCAGCTGGGAGTATGCATTAAGCTGGCCTGATGTGTTAGACTGTGAAGACATGGAATGAAACTCTGGACACTGGCTTTTATTTCAGCTCTATTAAAAGCAAAATGGGCCCAGCCAGCATGTCTCCGTGGTTGAGTGTCGACCTTTGAACCAGGAGGTCACAGTTGGATTCCTGATCAGGACACATGCCCAGGTTGTGGGCTCAATCCCCAGTAGGAGGCAGCAGATCAATGAATCTCTCATCATTGATGTTTCTCTCTCTCTCTCTCTCTCTCCCTTCCTCTCTGAAATCAATAAAAATATATGTTTTTTAAAAAAAGCAAAATGGGACTTCTTCTGTGGTGGGACTGAGGAAAATGGGACCTTGGAAACTCAAGGATTTAATTACATGCAAACAAAAATCATCAGTTCTCCCTTCAAAGTCTCAGAAAATTCTTTTTTTGCAAGAATTCCTCTCCCCACTGGTAACAATGGCACCAAATATTCTTTGAAGAGTCTTCCACCCATTTGGCATTGGAACCAACTATTAAAGCTGTATCTGATTTGAGCTTCTAAAGATCGGGTGGCTGCTTCCAGCGTTTCTGTCCTCATGTTTAGGAAGGGCTGGGCATGCTTTGATACAGCAGTTATCTGCTGGGTGTCTCTATTAAAGGTTTGTGTTTTTTGTACAGTCTTCCCTAGTAGATCTCTACTTATGGCTGAGCCTGAGCGAATGACCAGTATATTTAGAACAGATATTCAGAGGTTCTGTTACAACTTCAGTATCTAAAGAAGAGGCAGGATTATCCTGGTGACTGTGGCAGCTACGGAGAGGGCCCTTTGGGAAGCAACCCCGGGCTCGCAGGGGTGAGGAGTAAACCTGGGCAGATCAGGTGGCCACTCAGCTGTTGTTTCATCTGTAAAATGCAGACGCTGATGACCACCTCAGAGGACTGAGCCAGAGAAGGCTGTGGAGCCTCAGCCTGGGCTTGTGGCCCCGTCTGGTAGCTCCCGTCAGGTCGGTCGGGTCCACTGTGCTGACTGCTGGTGCTGGCCCTGGCCCACCACTGGGCTGTGGAGTCCCTGGGGGGACTACTGGCAGGGCTGGAATCGGAAACAATAGGCTTCATGGATGGAACTACTTTTCAGTGAGGGTGCGTTTTGTTTTTCCTAAAACTTGTATATCGCTAGAAAGAGTTAACTGTCAACACTAAAAAAGGAGGCAGCTGGTTAAGAACGCGATGAGCACTCAGTACTGACTGGATTCCAGCCTTGCCTTCTCATCAGGTCTGTGCTGTGTCCCGCTGTCCCAGGGCGGTGTGCTCGGGGCAGAGGCCAGCAAACCACAGCATGTGAGCTAAAGGTGGCGGCTTCAGGTGCTTCCCGCCTGGGGCAGACAGCTTCCAAGACCCCCCCCCCCCCCCAACAGGCTGCCTCCTGGTGACCACGTCCTCACGCAGTCTCCACAGAGCAGGCTGAACTGTGGGTCAGCGGGACACGGCACACTGCTCCACGATGGTGTGTGACTTCCCAGGCCAGGCCATGAACACAGTGCAGCCTGCACCTTGCTCCAGCTGGCATCGCTGCCCTGGGGCCAGCCAGCTAACACTCGGGGAGGACTGGGGAGGAGCCTGCCCAGAGGGGCAGGGAGGGGGCCATCCTGGAGGCCGTCCTTTGCCCCAGCGAAGCCTCCAACTCCCGGCAGCTGCAGCTGCCATCTTCATTGCAGCCTCCTGAGACCCAGGCCGGGACCACCAGCTGAAGCTGCTCTGAGTTACTGACCCACAGAAACCCGTGAGATAATGTTTATTGTTTAAGGCCATGGAGTTTTGGGGTAATTTGTTACACAGCAATAGATAACTAACAGTTCACCTTATACTAAACTTGTACAATCACCTTCTAACTGCTCCCATTCATTCTGTTCGACTTCTTATCAAATTGCTCAGAAATAATCCTATCATAACCTCCCTTGATTAAAAAGTTAGAGAGGTTCCTCATTCTTTTTTGGTGAAAGTCAAAA